TACCATAATAAAAAAAATAGTATCAAGATAATTTAATGTATAAATATTTCTCTTTATAGGTTCAAATACAAATAAAATATTAGAAGCAATAATTGTAATTTTGATTTGAATATATCTTATATTTATTCTAATAGTTAATTTTTTATTTGAATTGAAATAATATCTATGATGATAAAGTGGCACTTGTAAAATATTAAAAGATTAAAAAGGTTCATTAAATCTTGAAATATTTTAGACAAATATTGTTATTAATTATTTGGAATTGACTATTTTTAATTATATAAAAATATAAAATGTATTAATAAAGTATAGATTATAAAGAAACTTACTATTCAAGGTAAGCAGTTGCTTTAGGATTGGATACATAATAAAAGATAGAAGAATTGGAGTGTTTTATTTATGGATTAAGAGGAGTATGAATATAATAATAAAGATAGTTAGGACTTGAAATAGCTAAGAATTTAATATTGATGGGTTTAAAAAGAGTGATGATATATGATAAAACAATAGTATCAATTTTGGATTTAGGAACAAACTTTTATGGGAAATTTGATTAAGTTGGTAGTGTAGCTAGAGATTAAGGATTAATTGAATCTTTAAAAGATTTAAATGAAAACGTAATAGTAGAAATATATAATGGAAACATAAATGGGAATAATTTAAAATAGTTTTCTATCGTAGTAATGACAGATATATGGGATTAACAATTAATTGAAGAAATTAATGAAGCAACAAGATAATAAGGAAATGGATTTATTTTAGCACATTCTTCTGGGTTATTTGGATCTATTTTTGTAGATTTTACAGATGTAAAGAATATAATATATATAATAATAGAACTTTATAATTCAAGATAATAATGGTGAAATATGCAAAGAAATATTAATTGAATATATATCAAATGATTAAAAAGGAATAGTAAATACTTAAAATTAAAAACATAAATTCTAAGATGGAGATTATATAATATTTAAAGAAGTTTAGGGAATGAGTGAAATTAATGATTAAGTGTTTAAAATAACTGTAATATAATAATGTAATAAATAAGGTTGTATCTCCTTATTCATTTAGTATTGGTGATACATCAAAGTTTTCATCTTATGAAAGAAATGGAATTGCAATCTAAGTAAAAATTCCAGAGAAAATATCATTTAAATCATTCAAGAATATGATTAATTTTAATAAAGAAGAAATGTAATACAAAAATTTAGAAAAATTAGATAGATCTAATTAATTATAAATTGTATACAATTCTATTTTTAATTTTATGAAAGAATTAGGTAGACTCCCAAATTTATTGAATAATAATGATGCAGATTTATTATTAAAATTAGTTTAATAAATAAATTAAGATTTATAATAAGAATTAGATATATAATTAATTAAAAATATTTCACTTTATTTATAAGCCTAAATAATTCCATTAACATCATTTTGGGGAGGTTTAGTTGCATAAGAAGTTATTAAATTTACTGGTAAATATACACCTATTAGATAATGGTTTCATTTAGAATTTTATGAAGCACTTCCAGAAATTGAAGTTAATAGAAATATGTTAAACAATTAATATGATAATTATATTGCTATATTTGGTTAAGAAATCATAGAAAATTTATAAAATTAAAATATTTTATTAATGGGAGCAGGAGGTTTAGGAAATGAATATTTAAAGATATTTACACTTTTGGGAATTGGAAGTGGATTAAAAGGATAATTAATTATTGCTGATGAAGATTAAATTGAATTATCAAATTTAAATAGATAATTCTTATTTAAATAATAACACATTAATTCTAATAAAGCTATTACAGCATGTTCAACTATTAATTAAATTAATAAATCAATCAAATGTAAACCATTTCCAAATTATATATCAAAATAAAATGAATAAATATTTAATATGTCTTTCTGGAACAACTTACATATTGTTGTTAATGCAGTTGATAATATTAAATCAAGACATTATATAGATTCTTAATGTTGTTATTATAAAAAACCTATTTTTGAAAGTGGATCAGAAGGAACTAAATCTCATTCTTAAGTAATAATTCCATTTCTAACTGAATCTTTTAGTGAATCCTAAGATTCATCAGAACTTGTGAATCTTAAAAGTAATTTCAGTACCTTTCCATATCTAACTGAACATATTATTGAATGGGCTTTAAACTATTTCTTAGAAAAATTTTAATAAACTTCAAATGATTTATATTAGTTTTCTTAAAGTCCTTCTAACTTTTTAAAAGAATAATATAGCAAAAATTAACATTAACTTTATTAACTTAAAGAAAAATTAGAATAATTAGATAAATATTTATTTATAATAATCAATCCTACATTAGAAAATATAATTAAATTTGCAATAAATTTATTTTAGTTTACATTTTATGATTAGATCAAGAACTTATTAAATAGTTTTCCATCAAACTATAAATTAGAAAATGGATAATTATTTTGGACAAACCCAAGAAGATAACCTATCACAATATAATTTGATTAACTTAATTCTCTTCATTAATAATTTATTAATTGTACTGTAAATATAATTTTTTAAATGATTGGTTAATCATCACTATTTAATTATGATTAAATATTAGTTGTACTTAATTAACTTACTAATAATAATATTGAATAAATAGAATAAATTAATTAAACTATTGTATAATTAGAAAATCAAGAAAATAGTGAACATTAAATTTAAAAAGAGGTTGAAACTTTAATTGTTAAATTTGAGAATTTATTTTCATAAAATTAAAATAACTTCTAAAAGGTTTAATGTTTACCTTTTTAAAAAAATAAACTTAATTATTTAGAATTATAGTTTATTTTATCAGCAGCAAATTTAAGATCAATTAATTATAATCTTCCAAAGATATCAAAATTCTAAGTGAGATAATAAATTGAACATATTTTTCCTTAATTAATAACAACAAAGGCTGTAATAACAGGATTAGTAGCAATTGAAATACTCAAATATATTCAATAAAAAAATATTATATTTCATAGAAATACATTTGTTAATCTTGCCTTACCCATTTTTGTTTTTTCTCAAATTAAACCTCCTAATAAAAATATTGATTAAGAATTCAATATTTTATTATGTGATAAAACTAAAGCAATTCCAGATAGTATATATATAAATATTTTTAGATTGGACTATTTGGGATATCATCAAAATTAATAAGAAGATGACAATAAGAGAAATTATTGAGTATTTTGAACAGAACTATAATGTAAATGTATCATTTATATGCTTCAATAATTATATTGTATATTCCAAAAAAAAAAAAACAGCTTAAGATTTGTATAGTTTAATAAATATAAATAGTTTCTAAAGAGATTGTGCTGATCTTTATTCTGAGATTAGTAAATAAAAGTTACCTGAACATGAAATTAATTTTGATGTATTAGTAGATTCAACTTATATTATTGATGGATAAGAGGTTTGTGTAGATTTTCCTCCAATCAAATATCACTATAAAATTTGAAAAATATATTTATACAAATAAAAGTAAGTTTTAATATTTTAAAAATAAATAATATTTCAATTTTGTAAATGAACTTACTAAACCAATTCTTTAATTAAATCATATTTAGAGAGTTTTACTTAATTATTTTTGATATTTATATCATTTTAATTATAAAAATTATCAATAACTCATTCTATGTATTTTATTACAATTTTTCAGAGTTATTCTTAAAGAAAAAGAAAAAAAAATATTTTTTTTTTTAAGAACTTTATTCTATACATAGTCTTAATTACAAATAATGTTTTTTTTTGTTTAACATATTTTTCCTATTTAATATATAGTTTATGAATCAAATGAATAAATTTATGTTTATTTTTTTTATTTTAAAAATCTATTATAAATCAATCTCCTATTTCGTATTTTTAATTCTAAACTTGATTTTATCTTATTATGATTTTAATGACTGGCTTTTTTTCTTTAATCTTTGTTTATTCAATCTTTTAATCCTCTTAAACTTTAATTATGTTTTAAGTATGTTAAACTTTCTCTTCTTCTTCTGATGAATATGAATATGAAAATGAATCATCTATATAGGTTGTTGTTTTTTTGGTTATCCTTTCGATTGTAATTTTTTTTAATTTTTTTAAAGTTAAACCTTATAAAAAATTAATATATTCTAGATCATTTGTTTAAATTGATATTGTTTAACATCCAAGCCATAATTATTTGCTTAAATATTATCTTTTATTTTCACCTAATAATTTAATTATTGGTTTATTAGATCCTGAATTCTTTTTTATAAACTCTTATAAATAATCTGGAAAACCTTGTTTAAGAATTAAATAGCTTTTGTCCCAAGCATTATTAATATTTAAATAATAAAAATTACTTCTATCTAGTATTTATGAAAATTTCATTTCTAATAGATCTGTTATTGTGCAATATGTTTTCACCAAAATTGATACAATTAAAGATAGAGAAATTTTACCAATTGATTTTAAATCATACAACAGGGATTCTATATAATTTTCAAGGCAATTATTATTCCAATTTTTATTCATATTTTAATCTTATGATGAAATAACTAAAGGTTATTGTTTTTGTTCTTTTTAAACAAAATGTTCTTTTTTTATTTATTATGTTTTTAATGACTAATCTTTATTATCCATTTTATGTAACACCTTTTCTTTTTTACTTTTATTATTGTTATTTTTATCTATAAAGTATTCTTAGAGTTTAAGTATATGAATCGGATCAAATAAATGATCGTAAATATTTTCTTACTTTACTTCTTATAAACATGATATACACAAAAAGTGACCATCTTTCTCTTTATAAATATTAGATAGTTATTTTTCAACACACACATTTACTTGAATGGTAGAAGGCTTTCCATTTTTTAAATCATCTTTAGTTTGATATTCTATTTTTAATTTATTCATTTTGAGAAACCTTTTTTATTTTTAATTATGAAATGAATAAAAATATCCTAGTTTTAATTTTATAAGCATGATTTTTTTATAGATGATTTTATTTTATTTATTGAATACAAAATCATTTTATTAATTAGTTTAAAATTCACTATGAAGAATTTATTTTTTAATATTTTTTTAAGATTTTCTTTCCAAGATGGACACTTTAATTATTATTTTCCACAAATTAATCATTCATTTAAAAAATATCTAAAAGTGTAAAAGGGAACTTTCAATTTTTAAATTAATTTCTCAAATTAATACAATTATTTTAAAATAGAAATAATTAATATTGTCAATATTAAATCTCGAATTTCCGCCCTTAACAGAATCTCACTAATATTTATTATTAAATTTATAATGATAAATTGTTATCATAAAAAATTAAAAAAAATATTTTGATAATCTAAGATAACCAAATATCTATATATATGTATATTCTAATAAATCAGCAAATATTTATATTAAAAAAAAAAAAATCCTAAGAAGAATATAAATTTAATTAAAATTTTATTTTATAAATAAACATATTCAATTTTTATATGTATAAGTTATCATTCTTTCATCAAATTAAAAGTTTTCTTGACATATCAGATGATCAACAATGAGGGTTGCATTTTTCAAATTTACAATTCCATTTTAAATTTGGTTTGTAAATGAAAGTCCACAACATTCTAACATTTCTATCAAAGAAGGATCTTTTAAATAATTATTGATTCTTAATGATTTTGGAAAGACTAAAAAATTAATAAATTTAAAAAAAACCTTTTTTAAGATTTATATAATAAGTAAAATATTTTGCAAGTTTAATTCTTTTTCTTTCAGCTTCTTTTTTAAGATGATTCAAATCAAAGTCACCTTGAGTAATTATACAGATTCTTCCTAAATCTCTTAATAAATCCAAAAATTAATTTATAGCTTATTACAGTTAAATACCAGCATTAATTTGAGATTATTTGATGCCTGTTTATTTAGTACAATATTCACTAATAGTCGAATTTTAGGATGGTTTTACTAATGTTTAAAAACTTTGAGTGATCTTTCTTAAATTTATATCGTAAAATTAGGCTGAAAATTGAATAATTTCTGGATTGAAGTTTAATTAATAATCTTAAAAGCAAGTAGTTTGAAAATTTAGTATAATTAAATTATGAAATCCTTATATTCTGGATTCTTCTTCAGGGATTGGAAATTATAAGGATTGTAACATTTATGATTAAAAGGTATATGATCTTTTAAGTAATTCAATTACAACAGAAGCTAATGCAAATTATTAAGCTTAATATATAATTAGAATATATAAATACATTATTATGTTATTTTAAGAGATTTTAACATTTCATTTAAGTTCAATAATTATTTCTGTTAGGGAAAAACAGTTTTTAGTTCAATATATTTTTTGATTGGACATTGTATATTTAGTTAAATACATTAATTTAGATAAATCTAGGCCTTAATTCTATTTTCAAAAACTATAAGATCTAGGTCATCTAAATATGAGAATGTTTTTTCAAATGGAACTCCTAAATGAGTTTATTCTTATGTATTAGAGCTTAACAAAGAATTTTATGTAGGAGGATTAGTGATAGGTTTGATCATAAATTGTTTTTAAAAGTTTTTATTTCCTTCAATATCAGAAATCCTAATCTTTGAAATTTTAAGTTTAATGATTTCTTGTCTTTCTCTAACTTAATTGCATTCTATTTCAATAACTCCTATATTATTGAATTGTTCTATGTGATTCAATTCATCTAAAAATAAGGAGAAAGCAATACAATTTGTATTCATTTAACAACAAAAACATTCTTTAAGGGTTTAACATTAAGGACATTTTTTAATGAAATAGTCATTAATATGTTCACAGACCATACATTTCCATATATATGAATAAGCTTCAAGTTAATACATCAAATAGATTAAATTAATCAAAAAATCTCGAATATTTTGTTTATATTTAGTGAATGATATATTTAATCAGAAAGTCTAGCAATATTTATTAATATTTATAATAACATAAAGAGAAATTGTCTGAATTTTAAAATAAATTTCTTGTTGATTAGCCTTAAATAATTATAATTAATTTTAAATTGATCATTGTTTGTTTGTATAATTAAAATAAATGATATAATACATCTTGTTAGTTATGTAGTTAATTAGAACTATAAATACCTAACTTTAATAATGCCAATGTTATCATATTACTGATTAATTCATTTGTGAGAGATCTAAAAGATGTTAATGGTTAAATAATATATGCAATTAAAATTCAAATTACATCATTAGAAATGCCAATAAATGTGAATCATTTTTAGAAGAAGAATGTGTTCTATAAATAGATTGTTCATTTTAAGATGGTTCATGTATAGATTTCAAAGGATGTGAAATTATTACAAATAATAAATGTGCGTCATCAATAAATTGCATCTCAGATGGACATATATGCATATTGAAAAATTAATGCTAAAATTACCAAACATAAGTAGCCTGCTAAAATTAAGATATACATGGAGGATATTGTACATGGAATATAAAACAAATTCCTAAATGTTCAAAGATCTTAAATTGTTCTGATTTACCTATTTTAAGATCTCATTTTTTATGTGAAACTGCTTTAAATCATTGTACAATCAATTAGAAAGGAATGTGTGTAACTAAGGCTATTTCATGTGAAGAATATAAAATATATTAATGTTTCAATACTATTTATGGTAAGGAATGTTTTTGGAATCAATCATAATCATAATGTATGGAAAGAATATGTGTGAATGCTTAATTTTCTACAGATATATTATGTAATTAGTTTTTATCAACTTGTACTACTAATGGCTTTAATTGCATATAAAGAACATATTGTCATGATATTCAACATGTAAATGGTTGTGTCTTAGACATTGAGCATAATAAATGTTTTTGGACAGGAAAAATATGTATTAAAAAAGTGTGTTAATAAATTCCAAAAGGAGAAGATTGCAACACATATTTTTAAGATTTGGATTGTGTTACAACTAAATAAGGTAATTGTAAATCTAGACCTTAAAATTGTAATTAATTTGAAACACAAGACTCATGTTTGATTGATTATGAATAAAAACAATGTTGGTGGGAAAATAATTAGTGCATTCTAAAAACTTGCTAAATTGCACCATAATATTCAAACTGTGCTTTATGGAAAGAGGATATATCATGTATTGGTGATTTAAATGGATATTGTATTGATTTGCCATAATATTGTTCGTCAGTAACAGATAATGCATATTGTTATAAATAAAATTCTGGTGATTTATGTCAATTCTATAATTGTACAGTTGCTTATTGTTCAAAAGCTCCAATAAGTTACAATACTCATATATAATGTGAATAATGGAATATAAATTGTACAGTTGAACTGATGGATTCTAATTCAAGTATAGGATTAGGTTGTGTATATAAGTTTAAAAATTGTAAAGATTATGATAATGAAATCTAATGTAAAAGTACTTTAGATAGAATACAATGTTAATTTATGAATGGGATATGTTAAGAAAAAACTTGTGAAATGGGTAATTTTACAACATAATAAGAATGTTAAATTTGGAAAAGTAATTGTATAATAAATGAATTTGGTAATTCTTGTAAAGATTGGCCAAATAATTGTAATGAATTATTGAGTGAAGAATAATGCTAGATTGGTTTATAATCAGGTATATATTGTGAATGGAATGAGAATTAATGTTATTTTTAATAGAATAATTAAATATGCAATACAGCAAATAATATAAGTTAATATGATAATCATGAGAAATGTAATAGATGGAATGGATTATGTACAGTAATTTAAAAAGTTTATGGTTGTGAAGCAAGATAAAATTGTGAAGATTATTTATATTAACATTAATGTATTATAGGTATAGATAATTAGAAATGTTAATGGGATGGAATACAATGTATTAGGAAATGTGATAGGTATTAAATAGAGACAGTTGATATTAATTAATGTTTAGCTATTGATTCTAGTTGTCAACTTAATAATTTAGATGCTGTTTGTATTTATAAAACATACTGTAAAGCTTATAAAAACAAATTAGATTGTAAAATTAATAATAATGATTAACCATGTAAGTGGAATGAAATAGATTAAAAATGTTAAGATGTTGTTTGTGAAGATAATACTACTGCTGTAACAGAAAGTGAATGCACATATTTTCTAAATTATTAATAATGTTATTTAGATACAATTGGTTGTTTAACAAGACCATAAAAATGTGATTAAATCTTTAATAATATTATATGCAATAAAACTATACCAAGATGTATGATTAATTACTGTTATTATACAAATGGTTGTTGCACAGAAATATTGGCTAATTAATGTGAATTAATTATTGATTCTACAAATGATTATGATTGTTAAAAACATAATCCTGATTGCATATTAAATATACTTACAGGAATAGGATGTATGCATTCTAATAATTGCGAATATATAAAAGATTAAACACTTTGCACATCCATTAATGGTACATTAAAATTACCTACTGGAAATACTTGTGTCTCTTATAATAGTAAATGTTATTCTTAATAGAATTGTAATGGATTTCATACAAATTGTAATGCACTTGCAGTTTAAAATGTTAATTGTAAAATGGGCACATCTGGAACATGTGTTTAGAAATTATGCAGTGATTTTGTTGGTGTTATCAATGCTACGAATTGTTAAAACTTTTAATCATTTTGTTATTATATTGGTTCTAAATGTGTTACTGTTTTGAATTGCAGTGATTTAACTTCATCTGGTTAAACCGTATGCAATTCTAGGAAAACAATAAATGGATAATATTGTTAATGGAATGGCACTTCTTGTTAAATAGTTTCATGTTCAATCATTAGTGGAAATAATTGTTTACTTTATAATAATAAATGTATTGAAGGAACTCCTAATTGTGTTGATATTACTAATTGTCATCAAATCACAAATTAAATTTATTGTTATTTAGCATATAATACTTCTAATCTTAAATGCTTATGGGTGAATTCTTCATGTGTTGATTATTTCGATTGTACTAATACTTTTACAACTAGTTATAATGAATATTAATGTATAAAATATGATCTATGTAAATTATCTAAAACAACAACAGGATGTGAATTCAAATCATGTAATGAGTATTTGTAAATGGAATATTGTAATAAACTTAATTAATGTATTTGGAATGATAATTAATGTTAAAATAAAAATTAATGTTAATTCTAACTTAATTAAAATGATTGCTAATAATTTACTTATTGTTTTTGGAATACAACCACATGTAATTAAAATATATGTGAGACAGCTACTACTTAATTATCATGCTTATAAGTTATTTTAAAAAGTGGAAACAAATGTTTATGGACTAATAATATTTGTAAAGAATAGTATTAATGTTCTTAAATAAAAAACCCTTTATTTTTTGAAGATTGCTATCTATAAAATAATGGATGTGTAATTAAATATAATTTTAGTAATAAATCTAGTTATTGTTAAACCAAAAAGGCTGAATGTTCTTAGTATACATCTATTTATTAATGTACAAAAGATATTTATGATAATTTATGCAAATGGGATATTAGTACTTCTGCTTGTATTTACAATTAATGCTCAATTTATATTACTTCAGATAATATTTATAGCAATTGGATTTGCTAATAACTAAATAATAAATGTGTTTTGAATACAACATTGGATGGTTGTAGAACTATTTTGGTCTCATGTAATTTATATACAACATAATAATTATGTTAATATGCATTGACAACAACAAATAAGTATTGTTTTTGGAATGGATCTTCTTGTATTGATGCTTAATGTTCTTAATATAATTCATTAGTATCTCCTCCACTATTATGTGAATAATATAGTCAATGTAATTTAATAGGAACTAATTGTTAAAATAAATTAGCAGCATGTACTTCTTATTTAGATCAAAGTATATGTAATTCAACAACAGATTTATTATCGAATATTTGTGTATGGATTAATAATAGTTGTGTTATTAAAACTTGTTCTAATTATCCTTTAAACAATTTTAATCATACAAATTGTTCTTAATGGTTAAAATAATGTACAGTAAATTAATAAGAAACTTAATGTATTAATATAAACGATTGCACAACAGCTCCTTAAGAAATTGATACAATTAATAAGTGTGAATAATTTTAATTATAAACAAATTAAGTTTGTACAATATCATCACTTCAAGGTGGTTGTACAAATTTAGTATCAAATTGTAGTTTAGCTTCTAAAACATAATGTATTATTGATGCAAATCGAAATAAATGTTATTGGAGCAAATAATTTGGAATTTGTAAAGAATTGAAATGTATTAATATAGATAACACAGTCACAACTGCTATTGATTGTGAATAGTTATTAAATGAATGTACATTAGCAAATTCTGGATTGGGATGCTAAAATAAATTATCTTGTAATAGTTATAATAATAATACTTGTAAATTTTTAAATATTCGAGATAATAATTAAAGAAATTGTGTTTAAGGGTGTTAAATAGTAGTTTGTGAAGATTATTATTATTAAACTGATAAGTATTGTAAATCCATACTTGAGGGTTAATGTATTACAAACGGTGTTTAATGTATAACATCATATAGTTGTAGTGATTTTATATTTGATTATCAATGTTTAATATCAAGATAAGGGTTTTAATGTTTATGGTTAAATAATTAATGTATAAATAGAAAATGTGAATTAGCAGATGTTACTCATTATAATAATCATTATTAATGTTAGAATTTCATGATATCTTGCACTTATAGTAAATAAAAAAATAGTTGTGTGGAAATAAATGATTGTTAAAGTTATGATAATATAGAATCTTGTTTTTTAGATAAGTATGGTTAATAATGTGTTTGGAATGGAGAGAAATGTTATGATATAAAATGTGAAAATATTTGTGGAGATGGAATAGTAAGAGTGGATATAGAATAATGTGACGATGGAAATTATATAAATTATGATGGATGTTATAATTGTTAATTTAGTTGTGTAATAGGATGTTTAACTTGTTATGAAGGTATTTGTGTAGAATGTGATTATGAACATGGTTATTATTTAGATACAATAGATAACTGTATAACAAAATGTGGAGATGAAATAATTTAAGGAAAGGAATAATGTGATGATGGAAACTTGGATTAATATGATGGATGTTTCGAATGTATATTTTAATGTCATTATGCATGTATTTTATGTTCATAAGGTATATGTTTAGAATGTTAATATGGATGGACAATAACACTAAATGGATAATGTGAAGTGATATGTGGAGATGGCATAATAGTGTCTACAACTGATCAAAATAATGAATAATGTGATGATGCTAATATAGAATCATTAGATGGATGTTCATCAACTTGTATGGTTGAACAATAATGGAATTGTATCCATGATCTTAATGGACCATCTCTATGTTCATTTAATTAATAGCCATCCATGATTTTAACACTCTTAACTCCTACACCAAACTACATCTAATCCACTAAATTATCATTTACTTCTAATCTCAAATATCTCAATATTTCTAATAATTTTACGCTTCTGTAAGTATCTATTCTAAATCTAAATCCTACTCTTTATAAAATTGATATAAACAATACTAATTCATCTTATTCAACTCATACATATCAACCTATTGAATATCTAATTATTGCAGAATTTCTAATTAGTGTAGAAAATCCAACACTCTAAGTTAATTTTAAAGGTTCAGAATTTCAAGATTCAAATAATCAACATCCAATAAATACTTAATAAACAATTAGATTATTTACCTGCTATTATGAAACTGCCTCAGATAAACGCATTTCATCAACCACAACTGTATTTAATTCCATACTTTTATATATATTATTAGCCATTGCTTTGATATCTATTATAACTGGAAACTTAGATATATTTTGGAATCTCTTAGATATGGTTTAATATTTATCATATATTTAATATATTAATATACAATTTCCTACCAATCTTAATTCCTTCTTTGATTTATTTAGGATTATTACTTTATAACCATTCCTAGATTTTATTCGATTTTAAACTATCATAAATCTATTTAGTTTTGGTGAAACAATCTTTATTTAAACCACTAATAAATTTTAAGATGATAATATTAACGCTTTTTACTTTTATAATTTTGGAAGTTCCCTACTAATTTTTGGTACTACTTTTGCTTCCTTTTATATTACTCTGGCACTCATTCATACTATTAATAAATATCTTCATCATATGTATGATCATATCTATTTAATCAAATTACTATAATAATTATTTAGAATATTAGTTAAATTTCAAATCTACTTCTACTACTCTGGAATTATTAGAATATTTTTAACTAATACATATGATATTTTATTTACTGTACTACTTTAATTATATTATCCAAATTTCCAGAAATTTATTACATTTTTTAGTTTCCTAATTGCAGCAGCTTCTTTTACCTTTATCCTATTCCTTATTTACTTTATTATGTCAAAATAAACATTAAAATCTTATGCAAATAGTGATAAATATACTGTTCTATCTGAAGGAGTTACTTCCAATTAGGGATTCTGGGCCAGATAATTCAATTCATTATTAATAATCAAAAAATTAGTATTTATGCTTTTACTTATCTTTATGTAAGAAGCTGCATAATTATAAACCACTTTAATCTCTATCGCACATATTTCATTTGCAATATATCTCTTATCTAAAAAACCAATGACTAATCAATATGAATACTACAAAATGATATTTGTTGAATCCAAAATCACTTTTGCTACTAGCTTATTTATTTTATACTCTATCCCCAATCTCACTTTAGACTAAAAATATATTATTGGGTGGTTACATATTGCTATTTTTACTTCCATTCTTATATTTTCTGTCTTCCTGGATTTAACTTATCAATTCAAAGTTATTAGAGATAAACTCTTAAAATCCTGTGGAAATAAACATGCACCAAATTAAAAAATTATATTATTTGAAACAATACCTATGAAAATGACTAATTTATGAAAGCATTTTATTTACATATTTATTCTATTAAAAAAAACTATAATTTTATATTAAATATAGGTTAATTCAATCAAATTTTGATTTATAGAAAGCAAACCTTCTTTAAAGATGTATATTTTTAATTTATCCAAGCATTTTCATATATTTATCATATATTTTTTTTAATTTTATTATAAATGATTACACTTAGACCATTAAGATATTTTTGATTAAGGCACCTCTTCAAACAAATTACTATAAAAGGTCTTATAAACCTTTCTACCATCCAATCTAATTTTAGTTTCAGTGTTAAAGTTAACATTACTTATAAATTGTTAGATGATAAAGCATTAATTTATTAAAAGCTAGATTTATTATAATTTTAATTTTTAATGTTAATTCTACATTGTTATAAACAAAATTATAAATTATTATTAACAATTATATTAATA